ACGGAAAATGGTATGGAGGTTCCTCAAACAATTACAGATGGAACTGTCACATGACCCAGCTATTCCACTGCTGAGAATGTACCCAGATGAATAGAAATCATCATGTCAAAGTGATACCTGTAGGGCTGGCCCGGTGGCGCACTGGATAGTGCGCTGCTTGGGAAGCGCAGCGGCGCTCCCGCCCGAGGGTTCGGATCCCACATACAGACCAGTTCCCGCTCACTGGCTGAGCGAGGCGCGGGAGCAACACCAAGGGTTGCAATCCCATTGCCGGTCCCCGGTCCGGTACGGGGGCAACACTGAGGGTTGCGATCCGTTGCCGGACACGGAAAAAAGACAAAAAAAAAAAAAAAAAGTGATACCTGTACTCCAATGTTTAATGCAGCACTATTTACAATAGCCAAGAGTTAGAACCAACCCAAATGATCATCATCAGATGAATCGATAATGAAAGTGTGGTTTATCTACACAATGGAATGACTACTCTGCTATAAAAAAGAATGAAATACTACCATTCGCAACAACATGGATGGACTTAGAGAAAATTATATCAAGTGAAACAAGTCAGGCACAGAAAGAGAAATACCACATGTTCTCACTTATTTTGGGGAGCTAAAATTAAATAAGTAAATAAATAAACACAACCAAAGGGTGAAGGGGGAAGAAGACACAACAATCACGATTCCTTGAACTTGTTAAGACAAGCGAACAGATATGATGGGGGGAGGGGAAAGAGGTAGGGCAGAAGAGGAACGGGTAAAGGGTCATGAAAATTAACTACAATGTATATTGAGAAGTTAAAAAAATAAAAAAATAAAATAAAGGAAAAAAAGTATTCTTCAGTTCTTTTTTCTTGACTGTTTTCATCACACAAGTGTTGAAGTCTGTCCAAGGCTTTTTTGGTATCTATGGTGATAGCCTCTTCTACCTCAGATCTATTAATGTGGTGTATTACATTAATGGATCTCCTAATATTGAATCAAGCTCACATTTCTGGAATAAATCCGCCTGGGGGTGCTGTATAATATTCTTTATGTGTTGCTGGATTCTGTTCACTTTTATACTATTTAAAACTTTTGTATTTATAGCCATAAGTGATATTGGTCTATAATTTTCTTTTTTTTTTTTTTTTCCTTTTTGTCTTTTTTCATGTCCGGCAACGGACCGCAACCCTCAGTGTCGCGCCCGCACCGGACCGGGACTGGCAACGGGATCGCAAACCTCGGTGCTGCGCCCGCACCTCGCTCAGCCAGTGAGCGGGAACCAGTCTGTATGTGAGATCCGAACCCTCGGCGGGAGAGCCGCCGCACTCCCAAGCGGCGCACTGTAGCAGTGCGCCACCGGGCCGGCCCTATAATTTTCTTTTTATTTTTATTACTACATTTATCAAGTAATACCTATATCCTAAAATAATTATAAAGTTTTCCTTTATTTCCTGTGCTTTGGAAATGATTTATGAAGCATTGGGATTATTTGGTCTTTGACGTTAAGGTAGAATTCCCTTCAAAAACCATGTGGGCCTGGCCTTTTTGTGTGAAGTAGTTCTTTAATGACTTTATTTCTTTTCTAGAAATTGGCCTGTTTAATCTTTCTGTCTCTAATAATAATTTTATCTTTTCATCCATTTTTTTCTAGAGTTTAATCAAATCACTTCATTTCTGCATGCTTCTTAGGCATTTCTGTTCATAGTTATTTTATTTATTTTTTATTTTTTTGTCTTTTGTCTTTTTCCGTGTCCGGCAACGGATTGCAACCCTCAGTGTTGCCCCCGTACCGGACCGGGGACCGGCAACGGGATCGCAACCCTCGGCGTTGCTCCCGCGCCTCGCTCAGCCAGCGAGCGGGAACCGGTCTGCATGTGGGATCCGAACCCTCGGGCGGGAGCGCCGCCGCGCTTCCCAAGCGGCGCACTATCCAGTGCGCCACCGGGCCAGCCCCTTTAGTTATTGATTTATGATTTGAAATGTCTGATTGCTTGTTTGTATTACCGCTTTTTTCTGCTTCACTATTGTTTTCCTGGGGGTGGTTTAATCAGCTGAATTATTTTTATCAATTTATGTGATTTTTTAAAAATAGTAGTTTTGTATAGACAAAGTGTTTGCTCCTCAGGATTTCTGTAGACAGGGCTAAGTGATTTGGGTAGTTCATGAAAATTCTACTCAAGAGCACCTTCTTCTATCAGTGTACTAAAGTATGATTTCCCTACTGTATGGCTCTTATTGGGAGAAGTGTGCTGTGAATGGAAAGGATATGTGTCCTTCAACCTATAAAAAAAAAAAAAAACAATTCTTTTGTTTCACACAATTCTAAATCTTTCTTTTACTTTTTTTCTTCCCCACTAAGCAGTTTCCAAAATGGCTCTCTCCCTGCCTTTTAACTCTCTCTGTCCTTAAATTTACTTTTTAAACACTGCTTTTTTGTATCCCACACGTATCAGAACGCTTTTTTCATATTTTAACTTAGGGTTGACTTTCTCTTTTTGGAGGTGATTTTTGATCAACCCTAAGCCTGCCACTAACATCCCAAATCTTTCTTTTGCACAGTTTAGTTTTTTCCTGGACCCCTTTGCTAACGATGGCTTATTATAGGGGCATGAGAGACAGCCTGCTTAAATTTGGCATTTATTTTTCTACTCATAGGCAACTTGAAGTTTATTTAGTGTCTTCTAGTTATTCTGAGAGTTGGGTTTTGTGTGCTTTTATTTGTTCTAATTGCTCTTTATTATATTTTTATATGATATATTGATTCAAATTTGTATCACTGCCATTACCTCACCTATTCAGAATTACTTAGCTTGCTTTTTTTTTTAAAGCAGATTTGGGAATATTGAGAATTCTAGAATCTTACCAACTCATTATGAGAACATGTTTCTTTCCTGACCACCAGTTTTTGCAGTCTGTTAGGTTTATCATGTAGCCCTTTTTCTTGTCAGGTTGTAGTTGGTAAATTTTTGGTTGACTTCTACTTTTTTTTTTTTTAACTCATTTTATTTGTCATTTGGTTTGGAAATTCTGTAAGTAACTTTTAATCTGTTATTTATTCTTGAGTTCTTAAAGCCAATACATTTATTTTTATAGTATCAAAATGTTCTTGTCCTGTCAATTAAGTTACACTTTCCCATACATTAAAATCCTAAATAAATGTGTCTTTTAGATGAAGAGTCATCACAAATAAATCCACTCATAGTATGGATTAGTTTTTAAAATACACATATTCTAGATTATGACAGTGAATCCAATTTGGTTTTGGATTTATCCGAAAAACTGTTTACTAAAATGTTAAAACAGATTAAGTTTTTGAGAACATTTTAACAGAATATTCACATTGCCTGAGCCTTCTGGTTAACTGAATTTTTACTCACATCCTATGACACTTATGCATTATATACTTATTCTGTCAACAAATATTAATCATGTGTCAGATTCTAGTAATACACTGGTGAAAAAAATGGATAAGCTCTCTACACCTTCATGAAGCTACATTTTGTTGGGGGGCGGTTTATAGACAAGAATCATAATATAATTGATGTCAATGTGATGGGGTGGAGATGGGGATGGGGTGGCTATTTAAGGTATGGTAGTCAGTGAAAGCTTCTTTGGAAAGATAACATTTGAACAGAGACCTGATAAGGAGTGTACCGTGCAAAGACCTTAAGAAAGAAGTTCCAGGGCACTGGAGGTCCAAAGATAGTCAGGGCCGGAACCTGCCTGAAAGAATAGGTAGGAGGTCAGTTTGCTGACGTATATAGAACAAGAAAAGAATGGTATGAAATGAGGCAGAGGCTGGCAAGAACAAGATCATGTAGGAGACCATGATAAGCAATTTGGATTTTATTCTAATTGTCATTGAAAGCTATTGGAGAGTTTTAAGCAGGGTTATAATGTTTTCTGATTTATGTTTTAAAAGATCACTGATTACTGTGTGGAGAATGGACTATGAGGGGGCAAAAAGGGGAGATAAGAGACCAGTGAAAAAGCTGAGGCCAAGAGGCTTGCTGTAGGTGGCTGAGACTAGGGTTGTAGTAACAGAGAAGATGACGAGTCAATGTATATAAAATGTTTTGTATGGAGTGCTGACAGGACTTGTTGATAAATTTATTGTAGTGGTCAGGAGAAAGACAGAATTGTGGATAAGGCCTATGGAGGTAACATTTATTGCGCTGGAGAAGGCAGGGGAAAAATGGAAGCATAGGGGGATGCAGGTTCTCTGATGTAAGAAGTTATCTTTCTTCCCCTAGCCCTCAATACACATCAGGAGAGGTAGAACTGCGAAGCAGAAGAGATAAAAGATGTGAGCACCAAATAATACCAGCATCACTCATCCAATCCAAAGTGCTTAGAGTAGCAGCTCTAGCCTATGCTGGAGGAGGGAAAGAAAGAACTTTGAACAAACTAGGTTACTGAAGTTTAAAATTGAATAGGTTGAGTCTTAGAAACTAAAATGGGACCATACAATTGAAAGCAGCCTGAAAAGTTATGTAATTAGACCAAGATGTTCAGGAAGATGCAACTCAATGGGAAGACAGGCTGATGAAGCACCTCTGAAAGCAGTAATAGGAAAAACAAAACAAACACTTTTATGTTTGTTCCTGAAGTTTTTTAGAATACTCAGTAAACCAGGTACAAAAACTGATTCAAGAATGAGGAGGTGGTGAGTTGTGTCAAAAGCTGCTGAGAAGTTTAAAAGATGAACACAGAGAACTGACTTCAGCAATATGGTAGTGGTATCACAATGATAAAAGTCATTTTAGTGAAGTGGTAGAGACAAAAGAGTACAGGAAGTAAGGAAATGAAGGTAACAATTATAGACAAGTCTTTTAGAAGGTTAGCCACAAACACATGAGAAAGAAACACGGACAGATTATTTTTAATCATAGTGGCAGCTTAGTTAATTTCTAGCATGATTCACAGAAATATCACTGTTATTCTCTGGCAATCCTCTGCAACCAAGATATAGATAATGCAGAAAAAAGTAACTTTCAAATAGACTTTTTTTCTTACCTGCATTGATTAAATTTAATGGGTCTTGTTTTCCATCTCCTTCTTGTGACTGGCTTGGATCCAGTGAAGTCTGAGAAAAGCTAACTTCTGCTGATAACTGGTCAAGACTTTGATAACTTTTCCTGTAAAAAAGGATGAAATACTACTTAAATTTATTCTCACAAAAAAGAATGTCTAGAAATATTCTTTAAAGGTTTTCAATTTTTCAAATTTCTCATTAATTTTTCCCCACCATTTCCTCTAAATCTTGCCTTTATCAAGCTTCAATATGATCTCCATTGTACTTTTTCCTCCTACCCTTTTCAGAGGTATCTGATTAATCCATTGAAAAACAGAAAAGAAAAATAATTTGTCAAACAGTTTAAAATCCTCACACCAATTTTGTATTATAACCAGATGATTAAGAAATGGAATAACATTTCTCGTTTACAACACAAACAGTATTCTTACTTTATAATATGATGATTTTTCAAATGTTGAGAGTATAAATGTCCTTAATTATAAATTTTGAATAGCAGGAAATTCTACTATTGCAGGGAACTTCTTATAACTATAACAGATAACACTTACATGAGCTACACAATGTATAATAAAAAATGGCACCCAATATTTAAATAGTACTTACTACTGTTCTACATATTTTGTGTACATATTAATTTATTTAATCCTCACAACTACCCTAAGAGGTTGGAATTATTATTACTTCCACTTTATAGCAGAGGAAACCGGAGCACAAAGAGATTAGATTTAAACCTGGTAGCCTGGTTCTAATTCCATCTACTTAACTACTATGCTATCTCATTTGCAGTATAGAAAGAACAGTTTTGATTTGGCTTCCTATTTTATTCAAAACCTTTCTCAAACAACCTTGTTTGCTGATATAGACCATGTAAAATATACTATATTTAATCATATCACTAAAAATTTCACTTGATTTTTATTAAAATATTATTTCTTTAGCCATAGAGGAAAGCAGGAACACAGGAATTTAACAAGCATTTATAAATGTTTCTTTTCCAAATTATTTTTCTTTCCCAATAGGTACAAGCTTGCTTTTTAAATTGAATAATGGTTTAAGATGAGATTCTGACACTGATTTTTCATTATAAGAAACTTGTTAATATTTTTAAATTTTAAAAATTATATATAAAAATATTTACAAACAACAAAATACCCAGAAGCAAAAGACAGAATTTATTTGAATCTTGTAAGGACTGAAGAGTTTGACAGCTCACGTTTACAATAATCTCAAGGACGGCCACCTACTAGAGGGAGGAAACTATAAAAGCAGCCCTGATAACAGCAACACATAATGAGCTTTCTGCATGACCTAATGAAGTTCCTTTTAGAATATCACACTTTCTGAATCCAAAGTGATTTGGAACATTTTTACTCTTTAATTTGTCACAGTCAGTAACCAATCCTTGAGTTTATAGACTTTACTTAACCAAATGCCAATGTATGTAGAAAAAGAATTTGGTAGATATTGATACTCTAAAGCAATAATGAAAATTACAACCACTAATTAAGCACCTAATTCATAAGATATTATACAATATCTTCCTTACATGAAAACAACTACAGACCCATCATTTGATAGGAAAGTAATTCAGTTGCTTTCAGTAATGACAAAGAATGGGTTTGGCTTCCACATTCTTACCTGATTTCCAGTGTGACTAGCAGCTCCATCTTGTTGTCATGCAGTAAACTATCCATTTATGGGACTTCTGTCTTTAAAAGGCCACAACTAAGTCCTACCTTAGAATTCTAGACTCATTAACATCACACTGTAAGATTTAAACGTAACCCACCAGACATATCAATCCAATTAACAAATATTACTATTTCTCAGAATTTTAAAAATACCAGTATCTTACTTAATCAAAATAAGAACCCAAGATAGTAAGAATCATGTTTTCTGACTATATGAAAACTTAGTTTAGCCTATGTCATTACATTGTTAGATATAATTTAAATTAAACTTATAGGAATTATGTCATATGTCATGGGCATTTGGGATTATAATCAAATCTACTACATTCAACATCTAACTGTTTTTAAATCACTCATATACAAATTTCTATATACGAGATTGGGTACCAAATAAAGGTAAATTAAGAGGAAATTGAGCAATAAGCCTGAAGTCATTTATTAGTCAGTTTTTCTCCAGTCTTACATTTTATATCAACGATCAGAAGTAATGACATGGATAATCTATGTTATTTATTTGCCCTACAGATGTGCTGAGGTCAATAATAATTTACTTGGTTGTTATTGGGCAACAGAGAGTATGATGCCTAGAAGGAAATGTTTGCAATATTCACATGTAGAAAATAAAAATAAATATATGTACACTGTATACATAGAGGCACATGAATATACATGGAGACAGATATACTCTTTTTATTCTTGGTTTATTTAATAATAATATGTTTAAGGAACAAAGTAATCATTTGCTACAGAATATCTATATTCTCTTAATCTACTAAAATTACAGAAGGATATAAGGAAAGCCTGATAGGGAAGGATATATGTGAGTCAGGTCAATGCCCACTTTATATGCTGTAAAAGATTTCTGTAGCCTCAGTGCTTTAGGGACTCCTACTCCAAAAATGTTTGAAAGACATAATGGGAAGGAGAACCCCTATTATGACTGAAGTGAATGTCATTAAAAAAAGTTAAAAGCCTAAATAGTAGATCATGAAGGGCATATAAAAGCTCATGATTCTCTATAATTTTACAATCTGGAGGATAGCCAATTGAGAGATAATGATAAATTTAAAAGACTAAAAAAGCTTCAGGTAGAAACTGTGATTATGATGTCAATGATCTGATCTTTTGGGATGGGAATAGGTAGGTTAAGCAATAATCTAACAAGATTATATGAGATAATCTAACAGGATTATCTAACAAGTTTATGTGATCTAGATTTTTTATATAAAAAAGATTAAAATAGAATTTATCGGAAACAAAAAAGTAAACAATTATTCTATGTATGAGATAAAGGAACATGTTTTATATACTTATTATTGAGTTTTTACAGTAAGCCTGTAATGTTTTAACAATTTTTTAACATGATATTCCCATGTCTGAAATAAAGGAAAAGATATAAAATCCAACACAGCTAAACTTGCCAGGTCCTAGTAATTAAGAAATAAACTAGAAATCATATTGTAAAAACTTTATAAACAGTAGAGTAAATGGAAATAAATTTAACATCTTCTATTATGAGAGGGATCCTTCCATGAATAGAAGACAACATAACCAAGTTATCTAATGGCTCAATTTAAGAAATATAAACAAGACCAACAAATTCATTAAATCAGACAGCACACTTTCAAGTTAAATAAGCAGGAGGCCATTAGGCTAAGGCTGTCTACCTACTCTGAGTTCCTAGTATCAAACCAACCTAACTTAGTATGTAAACAAACTTAAACCTAACTCAGGAGTGTATTTTTTTTTTTGTAACAAATAGCCAGGTTTCAGCTAATCACAAACAGGCAAGCTTCAGCCAATCACAGGTAGCCAGCTCCTCACACTGTGCCCATATAAGGCAGATGCCTCATCGTACCATGCTGAAATAAGGTAGATACTTAACTGTGGCCAATCAAATGATTTCTCTACTTTGCTTCGTGTTTGGCCTACAAAGTTTGCCGCATCCAGTACTGGGAGGAGCTTTCTGAACTGATTTTGAGTGCTGCCTGATTCATGAACCATTCTTTGCTCAAATAAACTTAATTTGTCTAAAGTTTTTCTTTTAACACTCTTTCATCTCAAAGTTGTCTTGGGCTAGCTAATAGAATGAAATTACAGAGCTCCTAAAGAAATAGCCATAGCATCCCATATCCTGAGCAAGAAAAATCATCTACAAGAATTAAAACTGTAACTAAAGATAGGGTTAGTTTCTTTCTCCATATTATTGAGAGCTAATGTTCCTCATTTAAAAGGTTGTAGCCACCTCTTCCATAATTTATAAGTTCTAAATAAATGTCTGTTGAACTTAGATACTGGTCAAATTAAAAGGAATTAGTGATCAGGTAGTTCAACGTCTTGGCTTATATTTTAAATTTGAAGAGAGAAAAAACTGAATCCTGGTGAAAAACTATAATTAGTTTCAAGCATGATTTATAGAGAGCTCCTCTGTTCTAATAATCCAAAGCCTCCATTCTTACATGAGACACTTGGGGTTATTTATTTGGAATAACTGGGGATTCACTGGTTGTTTTCATTTTACATAAGGTTCAGAAAGTAGATCTTGGGATGTTAGGTGGGTGTACACTCTCCAAACATGGAAAATACAGGGTTATATTAGAGTAAAAAAAAAAATTTTTTTAAAGATTATACAGAGTATAAATAAAGATTCACTGAGAAGCTATTAAGTGCCAGGCATTTTTATTACCTCATTTGATCCTTATAATTCTGTTAAGCAGGCAGTATTCTCCAGCATTACATGAGCCGAAAAAAAGGTTACAGTTAGGGAGTGTTGCTCAGTGTTACAAAGCAAGTAAATAGCAGAGATTACTTATGAGTCTTGACTTTAACCTCTATGTCCAGTGATCTCTTACTACACCCAGCTGCATACTTTTTTTCATTCAGGGATATCAGTTTGGAAATAGGACCATCTAAAGTAATACAAACATTGCAAAAAGGCCAGATTAAAGGATAATTTTAGTAAGAAAGGGATGTCCCTTCTCAAGCTAATGTAGTAACTTAGTCAAGAAGTATAAAATCTGGATCTATGCTAAACAGAGGAACAGGCAGTTTCCTCAGCCTTCTTTTCTGAGACTGCACTTACTTTTGCTGCTGCTGTAATACTTGTGAAAACCGGCCATGATTATACATGCAGAGGTAAATGAAACAAATCTTCCACTTTGGACCCCTTATCGGCTCTTCAGTAGGTAACTCTGTAGGCAAGCAAGGGTATACTTCTGGCTATATTTTACCCCCCACTATCTAACGTGACAAAATTGCAATAAAAAGGCATAGTTTTACACCAGTATTTAATGTCATAATATATTGGCAGTTAAAAAAGCAGGAGCATCTCATATGTTATGTATAGATAAAGTAAGTGTACCAAGTATTGCTTTAAATTCAAATTTTCTATTGTAAATTAGAAATACAAATAAAATAATAATCCTCAATTAAATATGCCATAGAAAGGTAAAAATTATATGCCAGCATAACTAGGTACACTCTAGTTATTCGTAATTTTCATAACGGTATATAAGGGAATTAGATTCCAATATATGAAATATCCAAAGTTAACACTTCAAATCATAATAATAAGATGCATGGTTTAGTAGATATTGAAGAGAATTCTACTGATTTGTTCCGAAAATAATTTTGCTTACTTTTTCCTGCCTATCTCTATCAATGAAACAAGAAGAAACATTGAAGTCTCTTGCAATTATTTTAACAACAAAAGGTCAAATTTATTTTGAATTCCATTTATTTTGATAAGCAAACAAAACCCACAGAGTAAGCAGGTGGAAGATAGGTCTGTGATAAAACATTACTTATAGAAATATCTGGCTACTCTTTACCTAGTGAAAGGCATCCTAAGAAGTACAGATAGAAGAGTGTGGCTACATCAGTGAAACTTAAAAACAAGGGACTCTAAAAGAAGAGTAGAGAAAGAAACAAAAGAGAAAGAGGGAAGAAGGAGAGAAGAAAGAAAAAAAGACAAGAGTGAAGAAGGGAAAAGAGAAAAAGGAGACAGGAAAGGGAAAAAAGCAAACAGAAGGCAATGGGAGGGAGGGACATCAGGGAAAAGGGTTAGAAAATTATCTAAAGACAGAAAAATAAAGATAGTGCAAGAAAAATGATTAAGATGGAAAAGTGGCTAAAAGCTAAAAGAAGGTAATACAATTTACAAGTTTCAAAATGAAGGTTACCTAAAGGAGGACAGCCTAAGATTTTGCAGCTCTCTCATTAGGACACTATGACTAAATGAAATAGTCCTGAACATTAGGATAAAGAAATGGGAAAAGGATATTGTGGCCCATAGGTGGAGTGATTATATTTTCTATAGCTTCTAAAAATTAATTTGTTAACCAAAATGAACAAACTCTTTCAGACCCACCAAGAACAAGTAAATATCTTTCTATTTTCCTATGAGATGGAATTTTGTGTTTTCTGACAAATGGGAAAATTATCCTAAGGCAAATACAACATTAAAGCTAGAATTCAAAAATAGACGGCTCATTAAACACAAGCCCATAGATTTAACTGAAGGACTGGCTGAAGATTTAACTGAAGGAGAATTAGATAGCTGGTACAATACTGCATAAGAATTTCTCAGATATTTTACTTCCCCAGGGTGCCTTGGCTTCAAAATGTTAACACATCCATTGCCTTAATCTAATAACCTTACCAAAATAGTCCTAAATCCTACCTTTGCTCTAAGCTAAAAAATTCAGAAAGAAGAATTAAGAACTGAGAAGTACTAAGAAACCAAAGTGGATAACCATATGTTTTGGTACAACTAAATTTGTAATTAGTTGGAAAAAAAACATATTACACTTACTCATACCACTGTTTATTGTGTTTTCGGTAAAGCAACGTATCCAAGGCAACAGCATTGACATCCAGAGCTCCTGGGGAAGGCCACTGGTTGGTGAGGTGGGCAGTTAACTCTTGTCTTGATCTTAAATCATTATTCTTTAGCACAGTCCTGTGAATATTAAGATGGTGAGTGCTTTTGTTTTCAGTGTTCTGCAATGGTAGAGGAACCTAATGGTATCAGCTTAGGCCCCCCAAAATTATCTTTTTAAACTGGCACGTTAATAGATTGTGAACAGATGGCTGGTTGGGACTATGACTGTTTTGTCTTCTGTAATATGTGCTTTTCATTTTTTCTCTGCTGGCTACAACAAATCACTATTGTGAAATTCAGACTTCCTATCTTTTCTGCAGAGATTATTACTAAAGGACTAAAGGACTCAAATGGCATTTTACATCTTAACTAAAAAACAATGGTAATATCTTAAAGATACAGGTTATCAGATGTCAGTTGAAATATAAAAGAAAGATTTCATGTGTATGATTTTCTAACTTCAAAACTCAGAAATAATCTATAAAAGCGAGAAAAGCAATTAAAATAAATTTTAAAAAAACTGAGTGCAGAAAAATATAAAATAAATCCATGAGATTCCCATAACTGTTTTTGATAGAAGTGACCACTAATCTTCATGAAAATGATTAAGTCAATGACAGCTGCATTGAACAACATAATCCACTGGAAATGTTTCGACTACAGAATGAAGCCATTATAACAATTCATAGTTTTCTTTAATTTTTATAGAACTGTTACTTGTTAATAACACCTTGCAAAACAATTAGCTTTTTGCCAAAATTTCACCTTCACAAATTAACTGATCTTTGTCACAAGATTAATTCAACATTTGAATTGCTGATTAAAGATAATTTAAAAAGCAAAGTCTTACTCTAGGTCTAAAAGGCCTCAAAATACCATCTAGGCAACCTATATCCTCAAACAGGTGTCTATGGCTTTAGTGTACGAAGGTTCTGAGCCATCAGCTAAGTAGCAGGAAAGTAACAGGTGCCTGCCACTGACTTCCACAGACAGTAGTCCTATAGTGGGTGGCAAAGAGGTGAGAAATTGAGGTGCTAGCAGCACAATCTTGCGCCAAAGAAAATTAGCCTGCATATCACCTCTGGAAGGCCCTTTTAAAACTATGATTCTAATGGAATAACCATGTCTCTAACATGCTACAAATGGATATTTCTGATTTTACAGGGTATCTGTGTGTATTTGAAAATATCTGTTCCACTATATCCACAAAGAAACATTATCTGATGTAAACACTAGATTCTGTCTCAGAATGGAATACTAAAAGTTATAAAATAGGTAAAAGTCATTGAGATTCTGTATCTCATTAAAATATTCTTTTAGGCTAGTTGCCACAATTTCATTTCACTGGAAAATAAATGAAAATATTTAAAAGGACTTTTAAGGTATGTTAAGATTTTTTTTTTTTAATGAAAACAATAAAACTTTACAAAGAGAGTGATTAGGAAATTTTTAAGACCGACAGAAAAAGTGTATAAAGCAGAAATAGGGATTATTGACCAGATAACTTATTATAATCAAGTACCATTTTGGGGGGTTCTCTTGTAGATATTTCTCTTTCACATATTTCCTCTCTCAAGTGCCTGTAGTGAATGTCACTGGAAAACTTAACTTCAATGTCATAATTGGCTCACAGGAAATGTTCAGAGCAGAATGTGAGAAAAGCAAATGCGCATCTGTGAGGAAATGACATTGGTAGAACTCAGTTAATGATAAGTAATTGAACAATCTCCAATTTAGAACATATTCTTTCTGGAAAGTGGAAAGTTTTACACCTTATAAAAATGGAAAAAAGAATTGAAGTTTCACAAAACTTTTAACATAACAGTTGGCAATGGAGAACTTTTGCCTAACAATAAATTAAGGTATTGTCTTTAGAACTTTGTCCTTAGAAATCCTAATGATGTTTTCCTTTTTTTTTTTATTTTCCTTTTCTTTTTTGGCAGCTGGCAGGTATAGAGATCAAACCCTGGACCTTGATGTTATTAGTACCACATGCTAACCAACTGACTAACTGGTTAGTTTCCTAATGATGTTTTCTGTGGGAAGCTGCCTGGTCTTCTAAAGCAGGAGATAAGAGATTTCAGTGTATGGAATAGGCATAGTTTTCACCCAGGTTCATTTATTTTCCATCTTTTGTGAGGAATGTGGAGACAGTAAATCCTGGCACTTGCCACTATGAAGAGGAAAGGTTCCTGGAGGCCCATTTCTCCTTCCACTACACTATGGGACAGGCAAGTGAATTAAGTTAGATTGAAAAACCCCAGGTGATGTGGTATTAGCACACAGACAAACAGACCAGTGGCAGAAACTAATAGGATTTCCTGGTTTACCTGGAAAGAGTGCCAACTACAGCAGGGGGAATAAAATACCTTTTAAAAACATAATGCTTGAGCCGGCCCCGTGGAGCACTCCGGAAAGTGCAGTGCTTGGGAGCGCGCGGCGGCGCTCCCACCGAGGGTTCGGATCCCACATACAGACCGGTTCCCGCTCACTGGCTGAGCGAGGTGCGGGCGCAACACCGAGGGTTGCGATCCTGTAGCCGGTCCCGGTCCGGTACAGGCACGACACTGAGGGTTGCAATCCGTTGCCGGACACGAAAAAAGACAAAAAAGAAAAAGAAAAACCCCATCTCTGAATTTTGAATCTTGAGTCTATTTAGAGTAATAAATAGACAAAGCAGTTTATTCACTCTAGTTGTAGGGCTCTGACTAGAATATACCAGCAAAGAGACATTCCTGAAGTTCCTGCTTCCAGCCCTCTGGAGTAGCTTGGCTTCTCTTTCCAGGACTACTTCTCCAGTCTTTCTGTCCATTTTGTGAGTTGCCGATATCTTTCTAATGAATTTTATTTGTGCTCAAGAGTTGGTTGTGGTTACAACCAAAGAATACTATTATTTAACTTAGAACAAGCAAAATATACCCAGTTAATATAAAGACCTATTCAAATGTGATCCAACTGATATCAATATGAAGAATGATATTTTTCTTATCTGGCCAAGCTTAAAAATGGGTTCACCTTAAATTATCTAACTATTGCTATTATTTAATGGTGTTAAATCATTGGCAATTAAAGGTAAAAATAAGTGTTATTTAGCATTTAATTTTAGTTAAAACTCTATTGATGAAATTAATCAGCTAATCTAAATGTTACATCATTCTATATATGACAGGTTCTACTTGTCACTTATGTATGATGTAAATCAAATTAGTATTCTTATTAAGGTAATGATTCTACAGAAAGGCACACTAAAAGAAAATTATTTAATTTACTAAGAAAGTAGCAATAATATATTTATCACAGCTAATTTTAATAACTCTCCTGTGGAATATACCTGTAAATTGCTAGATAGCTAATTTCTCTTTAGATTCTCAATAGGAATTATTCAGGAATTTGGCCCCCCACAATAACATAATTCAATTTGATGAATGTGATGATTCAAAACCATTAAAAGAAAAAAATCTCGGGCCAAGCCCGTGATGCACTCGGGAGAGTGCGGCGCTGCTGCGCTCCCGCCACGGGTTCGGATCCTATATAAGGATGGCCAGTGCGCTCACTGGCTGAGCGCGGTGCGGCCAGTCTCAAAAAGGACAAAAAGAAAAAAAAAAAAGAAAAAAGAAAAAAATCTCTTTACATAGATTTAAGCTAGATACAACCCCATCAAGCCTAACTTATGAGGCAGGTTCTAACACTTTTAATGCTAAAATGGAGCTGAGACAGCATGTTGCAAGGCTACTCTGTTAGGGAAAAATATTAAAAACTCAAGTGTACTTATATACTGAAAATATTATCATCTCCTTGCCTTTGTTCCCCAGCATTAATTGTATCCCTAATATTTTTCAAAAGATCCAAATTTTAACCATCTCCCAAGGTCCATTCCATTTTCTACCTACTCTGTGAAGATCTTCAGATTAATTCTTGTCCATGATACAAGTAATATTGCTTTGCGGTAAGTTTCATACAGTTTAATAATCAATTACTCTAATAACAAATGTGTCTTCTGGTTCTTCCACTTTGAATATAAACTACTTGGGAACAGCAGCTTTGTTTCATATTTATTCATTGTAGGTGGTTAGCATAACATTGGGAACCCTTTAAAAATATTTGTAACTGCTGATCCTTTAAAAAAACCCCAAAACTGAGCAAACATATTACTGCCTCTCCTCAATATACAATTCACACGACCACTAAATGGAAACTATTCTGCCTTGATAATTTATATGGATTCCGGCTGACTTCCCATACAGCACCTCATAACAAAGGTTAAGATCAAGAGCTATCCACTCACACTGCATGGATTACTGACAGCTCTACCACTCAGTAATACGACTTTAGTGACTTCTTAATCTAGGAAACCTCATCTATAAAGTATGGGTGACAACTGTATCTACCTCATGAATTATTACAAGGGTTAAATTAGTTAAAACATGTAAAGCGCTTTGAGTGCTTTATTGTTTTTTTCAGTACCTATGCCCAATTTAAGTTTTTTTTTTTTTTTGTCCTTTTTTGAAACCGGCCACACCGTGCTCAGCCAGTGAGTGCTGTGCCCAATTTAAGTTTTAACCCAAAAACTTAAATTAAATCTACAAAATATTTCACAAACAGCATTTTCATAACAACTGAAAAAATATATTCATAACTAATATCAAGCAAACCTATTAGAAAGTACAATTTAAATTCTCCTCTCATTATATTTTTACCACTCCTCAAAAGTGGATTCTAGATCCTTTGAGGAATTCTTGTCTTGCTTTTGTGTAAAGTCCTTTTACTCCACTGGTAAAAATAAATCATTTGAAAGTACAGTTGGATTTTTTACATGTAACTATGTTGAAATATGTATATTAATTTATTAATTCACTGTTTCATGAGTTCTTTGAATATACCTTCAATTGCCTGACTTGAAGATGTCTTTGATGGATTTATGAATAGGTAAATTCAAAATACTGTGGATTTATAAACACGAAACCTCTCTATTGAAAGAGGGAGTCCAGCTCCCCTGCAAAATAGTTTGAAACAAAACTGGATAGTTTTCAGTTAAGGTTCAAAGAGCTGTTTTACTTTTCAAAGGAAATACAGATCAC